CAGCATTGTGATCATTTGGAGAATGAACCAGCAAGAGGAAGATCTTTGTCTGTGTATTTCCTACTTGCTGTATTTCAGCCATGAGGGAGGAGCTTCTTCCTGGTCTCCCATGCAGGTGTCAGGGTTTGTTTTGTTAAAGCACTTGAGCCATTAGCAGGGGCCAGTGTTACAGCATAGTGGCTAAAGTTGCTCATTGCAATCCTACATGGGAGCCAGTTCATGTCCCAGCTGCTCCACTCTCAATCTACTTCCCTGCTAATGGCCTTAGAAAAGCAACAGAAAGATGGCTCAAGTGCTTTAACAAACCCTGACACCTTCATGGGAGACCTAGAAGAAGCTCCTCCATCATGGCTTTGGCCTGGTCCAGTGCTGACCCTTACGCCCATCCAGAGAGTGAACCAGCAGATGCAAGATACCTGTCTCTCCCTCTCTGTATATAACTCTGATTTTAAAACAGTAAATCCTTTTAAAACTATACACACACACACACACACACACACACACACACACACACACATACATAGGTTCACACACACAACTTAAGAGTATACAGTATATTATGTACCCATAAGATTTAATTAGGTTTGGGTATGACATCTTCTTATGCTGCAATGACTTTTTAATGCAGTAATTGCAAATAAACTTCTAAGATAAATTTAGTCTTCATCCTTTCCTTTCTAGTATTAACTCTAAATTTATGGTTACTAAATGCCAAGCAGCATGCCAGCCACTTGAAATACATAACAAATAAAGATTGGAATTTATCTTCAAGGAACTCATATAGCCGTATGGTATTAGAAAGAAGTCGTTACTGTGAATTGTTTTTAGTGGCTATCACGACGGGTTCCGAAGGAAACAGAAAGAGGCCAGGAAGCTTTATGGAACAAATTACCGGGCAGAGTACTGAGGGTGAATATGCACCCACAGGCTACTTAGGAAGGACTCCAGGCACTCCTGTGGAGTACAGTTCACTTGGGAGACTGAATGTTCAGCTAATCTGGACTCAGAAACTTGATACAGGTAGGGATTAGGAGCTGAGGTTGGCTGAGTAGGCTGGAGCCTCACTTCTGGATTGCTCCTTTCCCTTTAGACTGCTGGACAGAGCACACATACAAATCAGTGCCATGAGAACTACTCCATGGAGAGCCTGAGGGTGCAAAGACTGTAGGATTTATGCCACGAGCAAAAACATCCCAGAAAGGAGATAATAAGCTCATTCTAGCTGTGAAAGGATGTTAGGCCAGAAGGCATGAAGTTGTTAGGAAATCATTAATCCTACCGTGTCAAAAGCAGTGGCACGTGGAATAGGGAGGAAAGCATCCAAAGAATGATCATGTAATCCTGATCATGTCCTCCTCTTGGCTATTCAGCCATAGATAAAGGAAAGAGGGACATCTCTGAATCAGGCGAAAATCAACAGTAAAAGACTAATCCATATGTTGCTTCTGTCTTTGAAAGCAATAATAGAAGCATGCATCCATTTAACTTACAAATGAGATCATTACAAGACAAATCTAAATACATGCTAAATTTCCTCAGTTAAAATTTGCCCAGTTTTGTTTTGCATAGTACAAGAAGCTGACATTGTCACATACCTTTTAACTTTCTAATGCACTTGATGTTCTTCAAAGAGATTAGATGTTGAGTCTGCCCAGATTTTTCTCAGTATTTGGGTTTCTAGAACTCAAAGCACTTCAATATAGTAAAAGTGTTGTCTTTCAGCCTTGTTTTCCAAAACTGGGACTAGTCAGATGCAAATCTCACAGCACTCTTCCTCATTGCATCCTCTTCAACATTCTTTTTTTTTTTTTTAAGAATGTTTTACATTTATTGGAAAGCCAGATTTACAGAGAGGAGAGACTCAGAAAAATCTTACATCTACTGGTCCACTCCCCAAATGGCTGCGATGGCATGAGCTGAGCTGATCCAAAGCCAGGAGCTTCTTCCAGGTCTCCCATGGAGGTACAGGGTCCCAAAGCTTGGGAGCATCCAGAAGTTGAATTAGCACCCATATGGGATTCTAGCACACATAAGGAGATGATTTAGCTATTAGGCTATCATACCAGTCCTGCTATAACATTCTAATGGGGCGGGGGGAGAGATGGGAACCACTCATTTAGTTCTCATAAGCTTTCTTTCTAAACTCTTAGCAGACCAAGAGATGTCAAAGATGGTAGAAACAGACAACAAACAGAAATAGACAACATCTATTATCTTGCACTGATTAATATCTTGTGTTATTAGTGGAGTAGTGATTATGATGTAAACAATATCAAGTGCCAAAAATTGCTTTTGTGTTTTAGGATTTTTATGCCTTCAAAGGAACCATGAATATGATACATCACTAGTGAATCCCATAGAAACAGTAGCACTCAGGGCATCAACAAGGCAATCTGCCAGTTACCCCAAAGTTGGCAGTGTATATTCTGCCTCTGTCTTCTGAGGCAGCAACAAAACTGCCTGGCAACAGAGAGGGGTCAATTCCAGGCAGACTTGTCTCTTCTTATTCCAATGCTTCTTTCATGACAGTTTCAACAATTCTGTACTAGGCCTCTTAACAATATGATATAGCAATGCCCTCAGGAAATATGCCATTGGAGTTGCCAACTACCATTCTGGTCATTTGAATTTGTGGTAGGATCCTAGGTAACTAATCTATGAGAATCTAGAGGATAAGAAAATGGGAACATTGACAAGCTGGAGAGGCAAAGAGAAAGGTAGGAAGTGATATAAGATGAGATGGGGAGGACTATTGGTTTCACTCATTCATATATTTAACCAGTCATTCAACATATATTTATTACACTCCTATATTATGCAATACTGCTAATCACTGTGGAGTCAATTCTGAATAATACTTGAGAGGAAGCACTTAGAAAGATTCAAAGAAAGCACATGATTCTGTCTTAGGAGAGTCATAGAAGGTATTAAACAGAAGAAATATAAGATTCAAAGGATAGAAAAGGATTAGCAAAACAAACACCTTAAGGGGACAGAATTGGCATCCATGCACATCATGGAGTACATGCAACAGAAGGAGGGAGCATTCCAAGCATATGCATGAGCGTCATGGAAGGAGACCAGCCAGTCTCAGGTCACAACATCTGACTGTCCTGACAATCACTGCATGGCTGCTGGTATTGGGGTGAACCATTCAAAGTCAGCATTTTCCTAGATCCGAAACGATCAAATGGCAAATATTACACATGATTCAATCCAATGCAATTCCACTTAAAAATCATTTTTTCCTAAAAGAAAAAAAAAACCCACGATAGTATTAGCATGTGTGAAGGGGGTGGTGATGGGTAATATTCAAGGACATGAATGGACCATATGGAGGAGTGCTGTGAATTTTATCCCTTGGATGATAGGCAGCCTTGCACAATGATCACATTAGTGGTTTAAGGTAGTCACCCAGGACCATGTGGAAAGTACAATGAAAGGGAGACACAGGAAAGCAGATATAGCTCCCATGGGAATTTAGGGAGAAAAGACAGGTCCACGCTCACAGATAACAGCAGGCGGGGCTGTGAAACACTAAAAAGGCAGAATGGACAGGACTTGGGAGCTGAGTGGGAGAAGAAAGGAGGGGGACTGGCATGAGTCCTTGGTTCCCTTCCTAGCAGTCAGGTAGATGGTGGGCTGGGGTACTGGATTGGTGCACAGGAGGAAGGGCCAGTGTGGAGGATAAGAGGATGGGAATCGGGTGTAGATAAGGTAAAGGAAGAGCAGGTGAAGCAGGAGGTGAAAGGAACTAGCATTTGCTGACTTAACAATGGTAGTGATTGATATACAGGGTTTAATTAAATTTAGGAGCTGGCCCCAGAAGATACATTCTCTTACTCCAATTTTATAACTGAAACTGCTTCCCTGAACTTGAGCAGTTATAAATGAAATCAGCTTCTCTGCCAAAAGGACTACAATACGTAGCTGAGTAACCTAACTGGGAATGTACATGGTTCTTATGAATATATAAAAATGAGGGCATGGTTAAGATCAAGAAGGGGCATACCTGAAATCCTCCTCAGAATCCCCAGGAGAAGTGGAAGTGGGCAGACTCCATTGCTCAGGTGTTTAGCTGACTCAAAAGTCTGCCCTCCCCATGCCAAACCCTGTATACAGCTCCTCCCCAGGTCTGCGGGCAAGCCAGGTAGAGAAGGATCAGTACATTTCAGGGCTGGGGAGTGCATTCGAACAAATCCTGTGCCTTCAGGATAAGTGCCTTGCTTACTATGAAGAGCAGGGGTCAGTGAGCTGCTCTTCACAGCATCTCTCAAAGAAAAGGCCGATGGCATTATTCTAGCAGGGGAAGGTTTAAGGCACAACCTGTCTCAAGAGTTGCTTAACAATCTCCAAAATAGTAGCAAAATGTTCCCCATCAAACCAAATGGCTCCCAGGGAGGAACATGCATCTTACATTCTGGTACTTGTTCTCTTAATTAGGAACAGAAATGGTGACTGGGATTTATTTTCATAAATACACATCCACAAAAACCAGAAACATCTTGACATGATGCAGCAGCCCTAACATTTCTCAAATCTGGATTATAGGAATTTTCCCACTGGTTTTGATTCAACATTCACAACAGAACCCAGGATGAGCATTTCTACATTGTTTTCAACCATGAATATACTGCTTCAACACTCTTAACACCCCCTTCAGATGCTAAAAAGAAATAAAGAAACAGAGCAAGGCATGAATTCTAACGTAATACACTAAAGAAGATATATCTCCTTCTTGTGGAACATGAAAACTGCTCTATGATCTCCCCCAAACATTTTCGGACATCCTCAACAATTTACTTTTCAAGAGCAGACTGCAAGTGGGAAATATTTGAATCATATCTGCTCCTTCTCTACCAGCATTCAGAGGATGCTCGTGTTTTTACTGATAATTTATTATAGAAATCGACTACTATTTTTCATTGCTTTAACTAAATTCTGTTACAGTAAAACATCTAAACGTGCCATGGAGTCTGCAATATAGACATTATTCTTACCTACTTAGTTTATCCTCAAGGATTTCCATGTATTTCACAACATTTTCCTTCACACTTACTTCTGCAAAAAAGAAAGAAATCCGAAGTGATTACAACTGCATTCAAAATTGAGCAAACTTAGGGACCAGACTGTGGCACAGTGGGCTTAGCTATCGCCTGTGACCCCGGCATCCCCTATCAGAGAGCTGGTTGGAGTCCCAGGTACCCATTCCACTTCAAATTCAGCTCCCTGCTAATGCTCCTAGGAAAGCTGTCCTAAAGGTGGGAGATGAGTTGGAATTCTGGGATAGATGGAGTTGTGGGCTGGCTTGTGGCTTTGACCTGCTCTATCCCTGGCCACTGTGGCCATTTGGGAATGCATTGGCAGACAGAAGATCCCTAATCCTACCTCATCTCTCTCTCTCTCTCTCTCTCTCTCTCTCTCTCTCTCTCTCTCTCTCACACACACACACACAACACACACACACACAACACACACACACACACAACACACACACACACACACTCTCTTTCTGTGTGTGTGTGTGTGTTCCTCTGTCACTCTGCTTTTCAATAAACGCAAAATAAGCCTGGATTTTTTCTTACAAAACTCAGAAATGTTCAACTGAAATCCAGAAATGAAAGGATCATAGTCAAGCATCTGATGATGATAATAACCTTTATTTGGAGAACTCGCCAAGTCATCAGAGTGGCTGCCTGAAGTCACTCAGTGGGAATAGATTCTAAGACTCCAGAGTTTCTACAGAAAAATCAGAGAAGAGGGACAACCACAGTCTCTCACCCTTGCTTGAGTCTTCAAAGATAGTTCACAAATAGTCTCTCACTGGTCACATGTGCTCTCTACCTCTCACCTTTCCCCCTCAGTAGCCAAGAGCTACTCGTGGAACACGTGGAAATAAAACCCAAAGTTGGAATAACTCTCATCCCATAGTTAAAGGGGGGGCACCTCATCAGTGGTAGCAGGGTGGTAGGCCAGTTCACTTGGAAACAAGCATAAACATGTCATCCTTTAAGTAAGTAGAAGTCAACCTATCCAGCCTCCAATGAGCTACTACTCAAGATAGCCCACTGCCTCCTAATCAGTTTGTGAAACAAGGAAGAAATGGTGTGGTTAAACAAATCAAAGGGGATAGCTTACTGATAATAAAGCTTTGACACACTTTAGGGGAAGTTCTGAAACCCTCCATTTCTTCATTTGAGGAATGACAATGCCTTGCTATCAAGGTGACAACTGGCTGAGATGTATTCAAGACCTGCCCAGAAGCTGAAGGGTCCCCTAAAAAAGCATCTGAAATTACAAGTGAACCCTCCATTTCTATTGCTGTAACTGCTACTGCTATTAAGAGTTCTGTCATTCTGGTCATGTGCTGTGGTGTGATGTACATTTGAAAAAAAGCTCTGAAATGACTCATAAGAAAATATATTTAGATAAAAATGCAAAAAAATTACAAGTTCTGGTGCTGGCATTGAGGTGTAATAGGTAAAGGTGGTGCTCACATGCCAGCATCCAAAATGGATACCAGTTTGAATCCCGGCCCCAGCCATTGTAGCCATTTTGGGACTGAACCAGTGGACGGAGTTCCAAGTTCCTGGATTCTACCTGATCTTTCCTGGGTTGATCCTGCTTTCAGACCAACCCAGCTCTAGCCGTTTCATTCATTTCAGCCATTTTGAGGAGTGAATCAGCAGAAGGAATATTCTTTCTCAATCTCTCTTTCCATCTCTTTCTCTCTCCAAATCTGCCTTCAATAAAAAATAGATCTTATAAAAATTGGAATTTCTGAATAATTAATTCATAAAGTGCCAAAAGAGAAAACTGAACAACAGAAAGAACTGCTAATCTTAGTGACTAATACTGGTCTACTTGACCAACTCAATTGCGCTATTTGTTGGTTCACACAAATTACTTGAATGTCCTAAGCACAATGTGGCTGGAACCAACATTCCATGGCAGAAGAGATGAAGGCAGAATAACAGCCTAGGTCCAATCATGGGGGGCCATTGTGGCAGCAGAGACCCTCAGAACATGGCCACAGCACATATTTTTTGGCTCCATAACTCATCCTGGTCCTTGCCACTTTTCATCAAGAGGTGAAGTCCGTTTCCATCCTGGTAAGCTGGATGGTCTGCCTACCCCAATAATCAAATATACTGGAAAAGATTCTGTATACCTTAGAGTCTCTATACCTTCCACCTGGCCATTTTTTAAATTACTGATTGATCCGTTGATCGACTGATTTAAACAACTATTCATTTCCATTGGAAAGGCAGATCCACAGAGAGAAAAAGAGAAACATCCTCCATCTGCTGGTCCACTACCCAGCTGGCTACAATGGCCAGGGATGAGCTGATCTGAAGCTAGGAACCAGGAGCTCCTCTGGATCTCCCATGAAAGTGCAGGATTCTAAGGCCTTGGGCCATCCTCTACTGTCATCCCAGGCCATAAGCAAGGAACTGGATGGGGAAGTGGAGCAGCCAGGACACAAAGTTGCACCCTCATGGAACCCTGATGTTTGCAAGGTGAGCAGCCAATGGGCCACCATGCCAGGCCTTCCACCTGGCTCTCTCTCATGAAAACACAGCTTCCACAATGTGAAGAAACCCAGTTCATGCGTAGAGGGCAGTGTAGCTATTCCAAGACCCAACGTAAAGGTTGCTCTATGGTTAGCATCAATCTCCAGATGCACAGTTAGAAAACATTAAGAGGACTTGCCATCATGGAACACAGATAAGCCACTAGCCATCTCCACCACACTCTTGAGTTCCTGATCCAGAGAACTCATTCAAATAATGAGCTGTAATGTTCAGTCATTCAGCTTATAATACATACATTTACTAAGTAGTTGTAGTGTCTGGAAAGCTACTGTCAAGACTTTCAGTGTTGCTAATGAAGTGAGAAAACACTACAGCAGAATGGAATTGACTCACAGCTACTGTGTTGAGAATATCCTATAAGAGAATGATATAGAAGCAGAAAGACATAGAGGAAGATTAGCATGATCCTCCAGGAAAGGAAGACGGAAATGACGTGAAGATAGAAGAATATTATCTTTTCGTCAACCACAAGAAAGTCCTTTTAACACTTCCACCATGAAAGAAAAATTATCCAGCGAAAGACATGCCATATGCATGTGTCTAATAAATCTTTTATGTGACATAGTAGTCTTTGAATTGAAAAAGCTGGGGTAGGCATTTGGCCTGCAGGTTAAAATACTTGAAATGTCTGTGTTGGAATCCTGGCTCTGCTCCTGATTCCAGTTTCCTGCTAGCATAGACCCTGGGAAGCACTGCCGATGGCTCTAGTGTTAGGACTCTTACCACGTGCACGGGTCAGCTATGTTGAGTTCCTGGATCCCCGATTCTGCCTGGCATAATCTGGACAACTATGGGTACATGGGCAGTGAACCAGCAGATGGGAGACCTCTGTCTATCTCTGCCTCCCAACAAAATGAAACTAAACAAACAATAAAGTAACTAAGTAAATGCACGTTTTCTAAAAGAAGGGAAGGCATAAAGTCAAAAAATTACAGTTTTTTAAAAAGACATTTATTTTTATGGAAAATCAGATTTACAGAGATAAGAGGAGACACAGAGAAAAAGATCTTCCATCAGCTAGTTCACTACCCAGTGGCCACAACGGCCAGCTGAGCCATTCCAGAGTCAGGAACTAGAAGCTTCCTCTGGGTCTCCTACATAGGTGCAGGGTCCCACGGCCCTGGACCAGCCTCCACTGCCTTTTCAGGCCACAAGCAGGAAGCTGAAAGGGAAGTGCAGCAGCTGGGACACAAACCAGCACCCATACAGGATCCCAGCGATGCAACGCAAGGACTTTAGCCACTAGGATACTGCGCCTGGCTCCAAAAATTATATTTTTAAAGATTTATTTATTTTTATTGCAAAATTATATATATATATATATATATTATATATATATATACACACACACATATGGAGAGACAGAGTGGAAGATCTTCTGTGCATTGATTTGTTCCCCAAGTGGCCACAAGGGCCAGAGCTGAGCCAATCCGAAGCCTCTTCCAAGTCTCCTACATAGGTGCAGGGTCCCAAGACTTTGGGTCATCCTTTACTGCTTTTCCAGGCCACAAGCAGGGAGCTGGATGGGAAACGGGGCTGCTGGGATTAGAACTGGTGTCCATTTGGGATCCAAATACGTTCAAACTGAAGACTTTAGCTTCTAGGATACCTTGTCGGGCCCCAAAATAGTATTTTTCTACTTAGATTTGATAAAGAATTGACAGCTGTGTAAAAATGCAATTGAACAAAAAAGGGATGTGGCTTTACAGGAATAAAGAAGAGGAAACCAAGCAAGGCTTGTCTGTGAAGATTCTTAAACCCTCTAGTTCCCATTCCTTACCTCTGCAACACTTGTCGTATAAGGGACTTAAGACTTACTTTTAGAAGAAGTAAATCAGAGACTTATTTTATGCCCAACTTTCACACCAAAAGTCAGGAAAAGATCAGAGAGTGAATCTGCTGTGTTATCAGTTTTCAAGGTGTCATACTTGGGTGAAGCATATTCTGAGTTCCAACAAGGACTTAGATCAGAGAGTTGGCAAGAGTTGATGATAAGTGGGCAAATTTCAGATTATACTTTAAAGGTAAAGACAGTAACTTTACTGGCTGTATTAAATGTTAGATGAGACAAAAACAAAGACTCTGGAATGACTACAGGTTTGTGCCTACACCATTGGGGGAAGAGTTGTCATCAACTGGCATGGGAGGGACAACAGTTGAAAGTAGTTTGAGGATTCAAGCAAGACCTCAGGTTTGGATTCATGATATTTCAGAATCTGGGAGGGCATTTGTTGCAATGATGAAGATGCTACTTGGGATGCCTGTCTCCCACAACAGAGTGCCTAGATTTGAATATCAGCTCCACGCTGATTTGACTCACAACCTTCATGAGAGGTCCAGGATGTCATGCAGAGTCTAGATGCTAAGATTCCTAAAGAACAAGGCTCACAGATACAGTGACTAAAACAAAGCTCACCTTTCTGCCTCCTCTGTGTCCCTTCTTTTTCTTTCCTTTTGCCATCATCT